TGGTTGGCACACAAAATATTGACACTTTAGGCACAATTTGGACATGTTCACTGTGGGGTGTACTCACTTATGTTGCCAGCTGTTTAGATGTTGATGGCTGTGTTTTGAGTAATTTTCAGAAGAAGGTAAATCTATACTACTATACAAGCTGTACACTGACTACTTTAAGTTATATCAAAGTGTCATTTCTATAGTGTTGTCCCATGAAAAGATATAATGAAATATTTGCAAAAATGGGAGGGGTGTACTCACTCATGTGAGATACTGTATATACATACATATATATCTATGTATGTACTGTACATACATAGATATATATGTATGTATGTACTGTACATACATACATACATATATATACACACACACACACACATATATATATATGTGTGTGTGTGTGTGTGTGTGTGTATGTTTATGGTGTTTTTTTTTTATGTATTTTTGATTGTTTTTCTTTTGACGATATATTCAGTATATGTTTCTTTGTACAGCTGTCAATGATTACACTAATTGTTATTTGGGAAGCAAGATCAGACAGAGTAGCAGTAGTATCATAAATTGTCAAACACAGTCTCATAATTCACTGGTTCATAATCTTGTTATTGTCGTGTCTCAACATTGTGATTTTATTGTTGTCGTTGTGTCTTAATAGTGTGAAATTTTTGTTATTGTTGTTGTCTGAAGATGTTGCTCTGTGACGACGTTTTTATATTTGTTTGTATTCATGTGTGCTTGTTTGTTTTATACTATAGTGTTAGATTTCTGTCTTAACACTATATGTTTTCTGTTCCTGCTCAGGGACTACAGATGAAAATTAGCTAGTAGCTAACTCTGGTATGGCTGAGAGCTGTGCAATGTCCATGTTAAATAAACAAATAAATAAATAAATAATAAATTGTGGGTATTTAGGAGGGGACCTCTGCTCACATTTTTTAGTCTGAAGAAGAGCCTGAGGGCTTGAAACATCACTTCTACAATAAATGGCATTTTGACGGGAGCTTTACTTGGTGTGCCGATCATATATGTTGTCTTTTTATTCAGTCAGACGAGTAAGGATTGATAAAGTCTGGTTTCATCTGTCGGCGTCACATGTTTGAGACAAACCAGGAAACACGTCAGCAACAAACTGTTCTCTGAGAATCAATAATCAATCACAGCTGTTCAATAATCAGTCTTCAATCACAGGTGATCACCTTAATGTTGTGGTTTGTGGTCGTCTCTGAGAGGTAATGAAGATTGTTTTGATGCATTCAAAGACAGTCGGACGTC